CACACACGGGGTGTCCCTGCGCCCCCCCATCCACCCCCCCAAGCCAGGGTCCCTCTGAGAGCGCCGTGGTCCACAGCGCCACCTGGTGGCTGCTCCGAGGACGCTGCCGGGAGGCTTGTGGAAAGGAAGATGCAGATGGTCCACCCGCGAGCCCTCACCCGTCTGACTCCTAACCCCTTCTCTGCCGAGAGCAAGACCAAGTGGACACACTGAGGACCAGCAGGGGCCACCTGGGCGCTTGAGAACCTGGGCCCCTGCTTCCCCAGCCAGGGTGGCCCCAGGGACACCCTACCACCACACACACACAGACACAGACACCCCAAGGCCACTCCTGCAAGGAGGACGAGTGCCACCTGGTGGTCGCACTGGGGAACTGCAGGGGTGCTCACCCACTCACGGGTCTTCGCGGCCACGGTCAGGGGACGAGGGTGTGCACCTGCTGGTCCCACCCCCGCAGCCAGAAGTCCTCCAGGACTTTCCCGAGAGGCCCCCCCACCCCGCGGGTGGCAATGAATTCTTGCGCGTGTGCGTGTAGCCCTGTGGGGGCGGAGGGCAGGGCATGTGAGTTGGGGGCACCTTAGCTTCCCAGACCCCACTGTATATGCACACACAGGCACACGTGGGGGCCCCAAGAACGCAGGCCAGGCCCAGCCAGCGTGGCTCAGTGGTTGAGTGTCGGTCAACCTCTGAACCAGGAGGTCAGGGTTCAATTCCAGGTCAGGGCACAGGCCTGGGCTGTGGGCTCGATGGCCAGTGGGGGGCGTGCAGGAGGCAGCTGGTCAATGCTTCTCTCTCATCATGGATGCTTCTCTCTCTCTCTCTCTCTCTCTCTCTTCCTCTCTGAAATCAATAAAAAATATATATATATTTAAGAAAACTCTATCCTTCCAGAGATGAAAAGTCCCCATGCAGCTTCTGGGACTGGAGACCAGCTCAGCTGCCCCAGCTCAGGCCCAGCCGGCTGCCTGCCCTTCCCCTGCATCTCCTACCCCAAACTTCAGAGCTGCCCGCCCACCAGGCCCTGCACTGGGGGAGGGGGGGCTCGAAACCGCCCTGCAGACTCAGCAGATTTCCCTGCTCTGTGTGTGTGCGTGCACATGTGCTTGTGTGCATGTGTGTGTACAGGCACATGTGTGCTCTTCCAAAGAGGCCTGGGGAGGGCAACTAGGGGAGCTGATGTGAGAGAGAGGCCGGCCAAGTATGGCTAGGACCCCCCGATGCCCCGTGGGACCCCCCTCACCTAGGGCACTCCGGCCGAGTCCCGGCAGCAGCCGAAAGGGGGGACATGGGTGGAAACCCTGCCTCAGAATCTAAAGGGGAGAGGTGCTGCCGGCACGGTTTAGGGGGGCTCAGAGCCTCCCCAAGGGGGGGCTGTTGAGGACAGCACACCTGCGGCCCTGCTGGCCGGAGCAGCTAGGTGCGGGTGAGGTGGGGCCCGGAGCAGCTGCAGACAGGTAACCAGCACCCTCCCGCCAACCTCTCCATTCAGCAAAAACCGTCCCACAGCCTGAGTCTCGTCCCACCAACCACTCCCTCAGATGAACCCACATCCTCTCCCGCGGGTCCTCTCGAGGTCTCAGCACCCCACTGCTTCCTCCGGGGTGGGGGGTGCAGCCGGGAGTGGGGGGCAGGGGGTGCAGGGCCAGGAGCCTGGCCCCGGCAGCTGGCCCAGCCCCGACCCCTGGCCCCCTTTGGAATGGGATACAGGACAGCCTGTGTTTTGGGGCCCTGGTGGGTGCTCAGTGGATAGAGCATCTGCCTGCGGACTTGGTCGAGGGCCCACATCTGGGTTGGGGGCTCCTCCCTGGCCCTGGTCAGGGCATGTGCAGGAGGCAACCCATCCATGTGTTTCTCTCACATCGATGTTTCTCTCTGTCTTTCCCTGTCTCTTCCTCTCTCTCTAAAAATCAATGGAAAAGTATCCACAGGTGATTATATATATCCACACACATACCCATCCTACGCCACCTGGCTCTCTGCCCAGGAGCTCAGCTTCCAGCCCCTCCGACTGCTGTGGGACCAGCCTGGTGAGGGGAGGGAGCTCCCAGCCCTCAGGGCTCGGCCGTGGAAACCGGGGCACGGCCGCCCTCAGCCCGCGGGGGAGGCTGGCTGCTTCCTCCTCCCGCCCTGTGCTCCCCAAGCTTCCGTTCTCGGCAACAACCACCAGCGTGGCCCGGGGGGGGTGCCCTCCTTCCAGGCCCCCTGCCCCCCTCTGACCTCAGGGCCCCACTAGGGATGGGCAGGTTTGGGGGCAGTTGAGGCAGAGGCCAGGCTTGGGGTGCCTCCCACAGGTATCCAGGTGGTCCTGCCCCCACCCCCGTCTCAGGTACCAACTACTGCCCAGCTCCGATCAGCCCCTTTGGGGGACACCACCCCCAGAGGAGCAGGATCGAGGGAGGGAGGGAAGGGACAGGGAGAGGGAGAGAGAATCACGGACCGGCTGCCTCCTGCACGCCCCACACTGGGGATGGAGCCTGCAACCCGGGCATGTGCCCCGACTGGGAATCAAACCGTGACCTCCTGGTTCATAGGTTGACGCTCGGCCACCGAGCCACGCCGGCCGGGGTGTAAGCCTTCTGAGTAGAGGTCAGAGTTCTGGGAGGAGGCCCGGAGGAGCTGGGGGCTGCAAAGACCCCCCAAGTCCCCCCCATAAGCTGTCTCTGCTACTTCTGCTGTCTCTGTCTCCCAGTGGCTGGCCCATCTCCGACCAGAGGCAGCTGGGAGCTGGGGTGTGGCTTGGGGCCTGGGTGACCCTTGGGGCCCGGCCTGGGCCCCTCTGGCCCATCACCTCTACTCTGAGAAGACCCAGCCTGTGCCTGACCGTGAGCTCCCCACTCTGGAGGGGCCAGTGCGGCCAGGCCAGGGCTCCGAGGCCGAAGCAGAGACGTGGGCGTCAGGCCCGGGCCCGGGTCACGGAGCAGCCGCCACCTGGGGTCCGCTCGCTCTGCCCAGCGAGCAGGCAGAGGCTGGACCTGACCGGCCGGCGGAGGAAGGGGCCCGGGGAGGGCTGGAGT